CCACCGCGCCCGGCCTTAAAACGGAATTTGAATTATCACATCCTCCAACTTAAAACCCTACCACTGTGTCCTATCATACTTTTGTTCTAAAGGACCCTGTGAGATGCCTTGCTTACTTGATGTTCTCGACCTGTATTCTTGCAGTTTTGAACACATCAAAGATGAAAATAGTCCTTTGTTTTAGTTTGTATTTTTAAACTTTGTGAGGTTGAGCATCTTTTTACGCTATTGACCATGTCTATTTCTCACTTTATCCCAATTTTTTTCTATTGAGTTATCTTTTATCTTTTATATAAACTGTGAATATTTTCCCCAGTTTGTCCTTTTGGCTTTGATATATACATATACACATATGTATGTATGTTTGTATGCACATATGTATATTTGCGAGTGTGTGTATATATATATATTTAGCCATGCAGAGGTTTTAATTTTCAAGTAGTCAAATTTGTCAGTCTTTTCTCTATGATTTTTGTGTTTTGTTTCATGTTTAGAAAGACCTCCTATTCAATACTATAACAAAAGATTTCTTCTAGTGTTACATGGTTTCATTTTGCATTTTTTTTTTGTTTTGTTTTAGAGACAAGGGCTTGCTCTATCACCCAGGCTGGAGTGCAGTGGTGATACCATATCTCACTGCAGCCTCTAACTCCTAGGCTTAAGCAATCCTCCTGCTTCAGCCTCCCAAGTAGCTGGGGCTATGGGAGTATACCACCATGCCCGGCTAATTTTTAAATTTTTTGTAGAGATGGGGTCTTGCCATATTGCCCAGGCTGGTCTTGAACTCCTGGCCTCAAGTGATCCTCCTGCCTCAGCCTCCCAAAGTGTTGGGATTATAGGCATGAGCTACCATGCCTGGCCTCATTTTGCATTTAAATCTCTATTCTATCTGGAATTTATTTTAGTATACGAAGGTAGGGGTGCAGCTTTATTTTTTCCCCAAAAGACAGATGTCCCAAATGACATTTATTGAATAATCCACATTTTCCCCACTGATTTGAAATGTCACTTTTATTACATGCCAAATTACCATATGTATTTGGGTCTATTTCTGACTTTCTTGTCTGTTTCTTATCTTTCTATTCCTGCACCATTACAACACACATTGTACTTTTATAATACATTTAAAAATCTGTTAGCATTAGTTTGCCTTCATTGTTTTTTGTTCCAGAGCTTTCCTGGCTCTTTTTCTTAAAAAATGGCTTTATTGAGATATAATTCATATTCCTTACAATTAGCTCATTTAAAGTGTGAATAGTATATTCACAGAGATGTGCAACCATTACCACAGTCAATTTTAGAACATTTTTGTCACCTCAGAAAGAAACCTGTACACTTTAGCTGTCCCCTTTCTCCCCACCTCCCCCAGCCCTCAACAACCACTAATCTACTTTCTGTCCCTATAGCTTTGCCTATTATTGACATTTCATGTAAATAGAATCATGTAACATGTGGTATTTGTGGCTGGTTTATTTTACTTTAATATTTTCAAGGTTCATCCATGTTGTGGCATATATCAGTACTTCATTACTTTTTATGGCCAAATAATATTCCATTGTATGAATATGCCACATTTTGTTTATCTATTCATCAGTTGAACATTTGGATTATTTCCACCTTTTGGCTATTGTGAGTAGTGTTGCTATGAACATTCACTACAAGTTTTTGTTTGAACACCTATTTCCAGTTCTTTTGGGTCTATACCTAGGAGTGGAATTGCTAGGTCATTTGGTAATTTTATTTAACTTATTGAGAAATCTTCAAACTGTTTTCTACAGCAACTGCATCATTTTACATTTCCACCAGCAATGTATGAGGTTTCTAATTTCTCTATATCTTCTCCAAGACTTATTATGTGTGTTGTTTTTGTTCGTTTGTTTTAATGTTAACCATCCTAGTGAGTGTGAAGTGGTATCTCATTGTGGCTTAATTTGTATTTCCCTGATGACTAATGATGCTGAGAATCTTTTCACGTACTTATTGCCATTCCTATATCTTCTTTGGAGAAATTTCTATTCAAGTCCTTTGCCCATTTCTAAAATTGGGTCGTTTATCTTTTTATTATTGAGTAGTAAATGTTCTGTCTCTATATTTTCCTGAGTTTTCTTGCATGTTCATTTTTTTTTAGTTGAAAAATGGATGGCTAGCAACTTTCTTGTAGCTTTAAAGCAAAAATCACTTAACTCCAGCGAGAAAGGCTTTTATCAAAAAGTCAAAATAACAAATGTTGGCATGCATGTGGAGAGATAGGAACACTCATACACTGCTGGTGGGACTGCAAACTAGTACAACCTCTATGGAAAGTAGTATGGAGATACCTCAAAGAGCTACAAGTAGAACTACTATTTGATCCAGCAATCCCACTACTGGGTATTTACCCAAAGGAAAAAAAAAAACATTCTATAAAAAGCCATCTGCACTGGAATGTTTCTAGCAGCACAATTCACAATTGCAAAGACATGGAAACAACCCAAGTGCCCATCAATACATGAGAGGATTAATAAAATGTGGTATATGTATACCATGGAGTACTACTTAGCCATAAAAAATGGTGAATTACCTCTTATATTTTCCTGGATGGAGCTGGAGCCCATTCTTCTAAGTGAAGTATCACAAGAATGGAAAAAAAACACCACATGTACTCGCCATTAAATTGGTACTAATTGATCAACACTTATGTGCACATGTGGAATTATTCATCAGGTGTTGGGCAGGTGGGAGGGCAGAGGAGGGGATGGGTAAATTCACACCTATTGGGTGCAGTGGGTGCTGTCTGGGGGATGGGCACGCTTGTAGCTCTGACTTGGGCAGTACAAAGGCAATTTAGGTAAGCAAAGCATTTGTACCCCTGTAATAGTCTGAAATAAAAATAAAATAAAAAATAAAAAAGCCAATTCTATGAATATCAGAATAAAAAAAAAAAGCAAAAAACAAATGTTTAGCCTGAATTTAGCCTAACAGATTCTGTAGATGAAAATTTCCCCCAGACATCTCCTCCTTAAATACCCTGAAAAGATTTGGGCATTTGCATGTATTGTGAAGTTGATTTAAACCCACTTGCGTACATGAAGCAGACATGGATTCTAGCATAGTGCTCTCCTTAAGGGTTGTGTATGGTGTGTGTGTGTGGGGGGGGTTGTTAATTACTCGCTGGTCTAATTGACTTTGCTGCAGTGTTGACTCAGATCAAGGCTGGAGAAGCCCTTTCCAAGATCAGCATCCAAAAATGGCCCGAGGTGATTATTGCAACTTTCCAGGGGCTCTCATCCCCTCCTGGGTTCAGAACCGAACCCAAGCTACACTCACAGCCTGACTCACAGCTGGGGACTGGAGCGAATGTTGAGCTTCATTAGGGAAGAGTGTGATTTCCCGCATGCTTTAGTCCTTGGGGGGTGTCTGAAAGGGAATCAAGCATTCCTTATGCCAGTTGCTTAATCCTTGGGGTATCCGAAAGAGAAACAAGCACTTCTTAGATCAATATTTTCAAGGCTCATCTGATGCAAGCTTCTGCCTGAGGCTGGAGGATAAACTGTTTCTCCAGCTTCTCTCTCTCCAGGGGGGATATGAACTTGAGCCCTTGTAATCAACTGCTTGCATTGTTTTTCCCTGAGAGATTTGTGAATATGTGTGATTGTGATGGGAGAAGGGGGGTAACGATAGTTTCAAAACTGGACACCTGTGGTGCTTGTTCCTTTACGACTCAGTTTCCCAAACTCTTTTTCATTATCACCCCCCAGGAGTATTTTAAGATATTCCCCCCTATCGTGCTTTCCCCATGAAATTTTAATGCCACAGATATCCTGTATATCTATTTACATACTGTATGTATGCCTGTGCTTTATACATTAAAAAAAATGCGTTTTTTGCCCCGTCGGGGGCCATATGGGCCCCACTGAGAACCTGTGCTTTACAATCGTTCACAAGTAGCCCCCTTGGCAGCCTCGGCCACATACAATGGAGAGGAAGGCAGCCTAGCGGGGGCTAGGTTGTGAACTAACGCACATGCAGCGCTTAGCAAAGTGCCATAAACAGGAGCCCTTGTTGTTGTCATTATGATGAGTTCAAGCCCTGTCACAGTGATGTTCATCGCCCTCTCTCAGGCTGCGGAATTCCACGGTTCCTGAGGGCTGGTCGGAGGAGGAAGTCCTTCCCAGTCTGGGGCTCCGCCAGGGGCCATGGGGCGCATAAGGGCGTGCACCGGGCTAGGTGGGACTGCGGTGAGTGGACAACCCCCAGCCTCGTGGTGTCAGAACTTCTGATTTTTCAGGAAAATCCAGGAATGCGGATTTTTGGTTAAATCTCCCAAATCTGAAGCACTGGCTCAATGACACAACAATAACGCTACAGGGACCAAACAAAAGAGATGCAAGCAAGATACACCGGCTTGTCCAGAGTTCGCAGCGCGGCTGAAATTCCAACGTGAGTCCTCCAAAGCCCGTGCTCTTTCCACTTAACCCAGCCCCACCCTTGACCGCACAACCCCTCCCCACCGGCCCCCGCTTTGGGAGCCGGTCAGTGTCTCTCCCTGCTCCCGGTCAGGCTGGGCCAAGCGGGACGGGACCAACCGTCCAGCTCCCCTTCCCATGCGGCACGCCCTTCCCAGCAGGACCTGGCCTCTGTCCACAGACCCGGTCAGGCCTCCGGGCCATACTGAGCTTCGACGGGGCTGGGGGCGCCGGCGCCGGCCCCGGAGGACGGGTCGGCGCGGGGTCGGTGCCGGGCTGACCGTGAGATCGCGGCCCCGAGGGAGGCGCGGGGAAGGCGGGGCGCCGCGTCTCCCGGCCTCTCCCCGCGCCTACCTCGGGCTCGCGGGGCTGAAACCAGCGTTGTTTGCGCCGCCCTCTGACCCGCCGCCCTGGCGATTGTTTTCTATTCGCCCGGGTCGCGGGTGGGAGGCGAGGAACGCGGGGCCCTGGAGCCTGGCTGCCCTCCAGGCCTTTGGCCCTAGGGCCAGCGGGGCGGCCGCGCCTCCGGGGCGGGACGAGAGGACCGGCGGCCGTGGCCATGGGCTCGCGCAGCTCCCGCGCCGCGGTCATCCCCGACGTGGACAGCATTCGGCGGGAGACGGGCTGTGAGTGCGGGCGACGGCGCTGGGGACCGGGAGGAGGGGCTGGGCCGAGGGAGTCGGGGACCCTGGAGCTGGGAGACCAAGACCCAAGAGTCGGGGACCGCAGGGCTAGGGGCGCGTTAACCTGGGGGCGTGAGGACGGTCCGAGTTCACCGGGCTGGGGCCAGAGCAGTCCAGGAACCCGGCGTCCTCGAGTCCGGATCGAGGCTGAAGGCAAAGCTGATGGCGAGCGGAGGGTTGACTTTGGTCCCTTGTTTCCGGGAGGGGAGCGCCAGGACGCTCGCGAGCCGCCCGGGTCTCGAGCTTGGCGCTTCGTGGGGTCGCACATCGCTCCCGCCCCAGCCCCGCCTCCCCGGGTTCCCGGGGTGAACGTTCCCTCCAGCAAGCCCCTCTCCCCTGTCTGTCCCCCGCGCGTCTCCCGGCCGTCCTGAGCGGGCTCCAGAGCGTGCTTCTTGTCACCCGTGCGCTTTCCCCCGCAGTCTCGCAGGCCTGTCTGCTCCGCCTGCACCACCGGTTCCGGGCACTGGACAGGAACAAGAAGGGCTACCTGAGGTGAGGGGGAGTCTCGCCTCTGTCCTTCGGACCCCTTTTCCCTGTTTGACGCCCCCACCCCCGCCTCCGTCTGCCGTCTTGCCCTACCCACTTTGAACTTTGACTTTGCAGTCGCATGGATCTCCAGCAGATTGGGGCGCTGGCCGTGAACCCCCTGGGAGACCGGATTATAGACAGCTTCTTCCCAGACGGGTGAGGCCCTGCTGCAGCAGAAGCGGAAAAACCTGAGTCAGTTGGGTGGGAGGGGAGGTTAGTTAGAGACCGAGGCAGAGGGATGGCTAAGGTGACCGCTGCCTCCCTCCGTTCCATGCCCCCAGGAGTCTGCAAGTGGATTTCTCAGGCTTTGTCAGGGTCCTGGCTCATTTTCGACCTATAGAAGAGGAGGACACAGGGATGCGAGACCCCAAGCAACCTGAACCCCTCAACAGCAGAATGAACAAACTTCGCTGTGAGTTTGTGGAGACCCGCCCAAGTGAGACCGCAGGTTTACCCACACCAGGGAGAGGCCCCAGGAATCTTCCACTCCCTTCATGAGCCTAGTGACAACCACGCCACTCCTCTGGGGTGACCTTCTCCTGGAGGAGAACCAGGGAAGACCCACCTGCCTTTCCCCCTTCCACTCTCTTCCCAGTTGCATTTCAGCTCTATGACCTGGATCGAGATGGGAAGATCTCCAGGCAGGAGATGCTGCAGGTTGGACGAATGCCAGGGTGGGAGATGTGATGTGTGGAGGGTGGGAGGGCTGGTGGATGGGGGATGCAGATGATCAGGGTATGGGATGGGAAATGGGAATGGATGGGGTTGGAGCATGGGTTAATTGGGAGGTCGAGTGGGTAGCAGTTGGGTGAGGTCGGCAATAGATCAGGGATTCTCAGCTGGGGGTCATTGTGCCCCTTGACTGAAGATTTGGCAATATCTGGAGACACTTTGTGTTGTCACACTTGGCGAGAGAGTGTGCTGCTGGTATCTAGTGGGTGGAGGTCAGGGATGTCGCTATACATTGTATAATACATAGGACAGCCTCCCACACCAAGGCATTATCTGGTGTCAAGCCTCCATAGTGCCGAGATTGAGAAACTCTGAAGAGGTGATGAATTGGGTGTGGAGGCTGGACAAAGTTGGGTTATAAGCTGGGCGATGAGTCTGGATAGGTTGCTGAGAGGAGTGTGGGCTAGATGGGAGATTGCATGGTGAGGCAGTGGGAAATTATTGGGGGATATGGGGGAAAGTGACTGGGATGGGGTGAAACATGGATAAAGGATGGATTATGAAACTGGTAATAGCTTTTGGGGTGAGGTGGGCAGGGTTTTGAGGATGGGAGAGTAGCCTTTGTATCTCCTCTTTATGGCTGCCTCTTCCCTTACCTCCCAGGTTCTCCGGCTGATGGTTGGGGTACAGGTGACAGAAGAGCAGCTGGAGAGCATCGCTGACCGCACGGTGCAGGAGGCTGATGAAGACGGGGACGGGGCTGTGTCCTTCCTGGAGTTCGCCAAGGTCAGAATGTCCCTAGGACTGGGACTGGGGAGTTGAGATCAAGAGTCCCTGGGACAGATGGACAAGAGGAATGATGTTCAAAGGAGAAGAAGAAGGGGGCAGTGGAGTCGTTGGGATGGGTAGAACCTGGGGGAGGAGGTGGAGACATAGAGGACTGGGATTCGTGCCTCTTGACTAGCACCCATTTTCTCCGCCAGTCCCTGGAGAAGATGAACATCGAGCAAAAAATGAGCATCCGCATCTTGAAGTGACTCCTTTTGTGCCTTCGTCTAGCTCAGGCAGACCAGTACCTACCTGGAATTCACCCTCAGCCCCCGTGGGCACGGGGCCCCAATAAACTGTATTCTTACTTCCAAACTGAACTCTATTTAGGACCAAGGAAGGAAAGCTGGAAGGGTGTGTACTAAAGTCTAGTTCATTTGATCCCAGATCTGTGAACCAGCCAGCAAGGTTTTGGTTGCAAATGACTAAAAACGCAACTCAATGTGACTTAAGTAAAAAAGGGATTTTATAATATGAGCTCCTGTAATTAAAAAGTCTGGAAGTATCTGTCTTCAGGCGCAGCTGGATCCAAGGGCAAAAATGATGTTATCAAGAGTCAGTTATTCGCCATCTCTCAACTTGGCTTTCTTTTGTTTTAGCTTCATCCTCAGGGTGGCTCTTTCCTCGTGGTGGGGAATGGCCACCAGCAGCTCCAGGCTTCCATCCTGCCAGCCTAGTCATCTGGCCGGGAGAGATTTTCTTATTCCAGTAATTCCAAGCAAAAAGTATCATTGGCTGAGTCTGAGGTCTTGTCCCCATCTCCAGGGGAATGGAACACTCTCATTGACTGGGCCTGTGTCATGTGCTGATTCCTAGAGCCAGGAAATAAAGTCTGAGGACTCAGGATGGTGTGAGAAGTGGTTGCATAAAGGAAAATGAGGTACTGTTATCAGAAGAAGGGGGAATGATGGCTCAGGCTGAAGAAGAGATGTCCATTAGTGTTTGGTTGACCAAATGGAGGGGCCCTTGAAGTCTGGTCTCTTACGTGGGTTTTTGCTGATCCCATGGGTGCATGCCAGTGTGATGGGGGTTGGTGGGATGGGGCAGAGATGATGTGAAAGTGACAAACAATGCATACCCTTCTAGATTTGGAGAGTAATCTTGTTTTCACAGTAGGATGTTCAAACATTGATATATCACAGAATAGAGTGTAAAAGTCACAAAAAACCATGAGATTCTATTTCTGCAGCAGAGAGCTCTGGCCGTGCCTGCAGGAGATGCCCTGCTTTATTTCAGCGGAGGTCCTTGGCCTCATCCGTAAGTCTGGACTCTGGCCTGTGTCAGTCTGTATTCTTTTAGTTATTAAGTGGCTTATGAAATAAAAGGAATTTATTGGTTCATATAAATGGAAGAAAAGTCCAAAGGTAGATCAGGCAAAGGTGTGTCCCAAAGGCTCAATAATATCATCAGAAATTAGTCTTTTCATTTCTCAACTCCACTGTCCTCTGTGTTGGTCTCTTTCGTAAGCAGCAACCCCAATTAAAAGAGAGCCTCTCTTTCCCAACAGTGCTGTCAAAAGTCCCAGAAATAAATCTCATCGGCCCATCCACTGTAGCCAGGTAAATGCAACACTCTAATTAGCCATCTCTGGTCGTACGCTCGCCCCAGAACTAGAGATTATAGTCAATCCCTCTTGAACCAAATGCAATGTGTGTGTGTATGTTGATTCCCTAAAGGAATATCAGAATGTTGTTATCAAAAGAAGGGGGCTGCATGCTGGACAAGCAAAATCAACAGATTAACTATATACTAGTTAATTTGGTTTTGGCTACAAATTACAGAATTACCAACTAACACTGGCTTAAACAATTAAGACAATCATCTCACACTATAAGATGTCTCTGGTGGTAGGCAGTCCTAGAGTTATTGAGTAGCTCAACAATATTATTGAGAATTCAAGATCTTTTATCCTTCTGTTTCTTAATATGTTGGCTTTTAATTCTCAGGTTTGTTGACTTGTGGTTACAAGATGGCTGCGGTAGCTCTAGCCATCACATCTCTCCACAGAAACAGTGTCCCAAGAGACAGGAAGTGCAAGGGCCCAGTCTCTTAAAGTGTAGGAAGCTGGCATGATATCATATCCACCATAGTGATCCAGCGCCCCAAGAGGAGAGGATGTAGACTGCATTTCTGGATGGGAGGAGTATTGAGGAATTCATGGTCATCTTTAATCTTCCACATGTGCATATAGGTAGGGATGCATAATCTTTTTGCAGGGAAGGGAAGTAGACATTTTAAAAAATGAGTAAGACGGGCCTTACCTTACCAGTTAACATTTTGGTTTGGGATGCCTATAAATTCAATTGATTTTCCTTGTACATAATGCAAGCCTTGAACAAATAGATGTAAAAATGTTTTGTGTCAATAAATAAAGTACCTAATAAAGTATTACATTATTCAAAAAATAAAATAAATTGTTAGGATATTGCTACAGATAGCTTAATGGAACAAAAGAGAAGGTACAAAAATATATATGTGTGTACATACGTACATTTGTATGTCTAATAGTATATTATAATTTAAATATTAGTCCTCCAAATAGCCTCATAAAATGAAATACCAAATGGTTTAGAAAAATGGTATAATATACATGATTATTAATGTACTCTTGAGACGCAGAGGCTTTTCTAAGAAGAATCATCATGGAAAATATTAATAGTGTTAACTTTATAAAAATAAATTGTATTTTTATAAATTGCAACTTTATAAAAATAAATTGAATAAACTATAAATTCAATTTATAAAAAAATTGAAAGGCGAAGAACACACTGGAGAATTATTTGCATTCTGCATATCTGCATATCAGACAAGGGATTATAATCTTTTATATACGTATAGTTCTGCCAACTAGAAACAGATGAACATCATATAGGCAACAATATGAACAAGAAAATTTTAAAAAGAAATATAAATGTCCAAAAGCATATAAAATGTTCAATCTTTTTTTTTTTTTTTGAGACAGAGTCTCACTGTGTTGCCCGGGCTAGAGTGCCGTGGCGTCAGCCTAGCTCACAGCAACCTCAAACTCCTGGGCTCAAGCAATCCTCCTGCCTCAGCCTCCCGAGTAGCTGGGACTACAAGCATGCACCACCATGCTAATTTTTTGTATATATTTTTAGTAATTTCTCTCTAATTTTAGTAGAGACGGGGTCTCACTCTTGCTCAGGCTGGTTTCGAACTCCTGAGCTCAAACAATCTGCCCACCTCGGCCTCCCAGAGAGCTAGGATTACAGGCGTGAGCCACCGCGCCCGGCCAGAATGTTCAATCTTAATGTTGATTAAATTCTAATTAAAACCATGACTCTCTTGAGGATTAGTCTAATTTTATACATCAGAAGCCCTGAACCTGAGTAAGAGCAAGACCCCTGTCTCTACAAAAAAATAGAAAAATTAGCCAGGCGTGGTGGTCCTCGCCTCTAGTCCCAGCTATGCAGGAGGCTGAGGCAGGAGGATCATCTGAGCCCAAGAGTTTGAGGTTGCAGTGAGCTCTCATGATGCCACTGCACTGTAGCCTGGGTGACAGAGCGATACCCTGCCTCAAAGAAAAAACAAAGAAAGGAAGCCCTAAAAATAAGACTGGGCACAGTGGCTCACACGTATAATCCTAGCTCTTTGGGAGGCTGCAGCCAGAGGATCGCTTGAGGCCAAGAGTTCAAGACCAGCCTGAGCAAGAGCGAGACCCCGTCCCTACTTAAAAAAAAAGAAAAAAGAAAAAAATAGAAAACTTAGCTGGGCATTGTGGCATGCTTGTAGTCCCAGCTACTCGGGAGGCTGAGGCAGGAGGATTGCTTGAGCCTAGGAGTTTGAGGCTGCAGTGAGCTATGATGATGCCACTGCACTCTACCCAGGGCAACAAAGTAAGACTCTGTCTCAAAAAAAAAAAAAAATACTGATATTTGCTTGGGCTTTACTATAGATCTATTACATTATAATTTCCAAAGGTAGGAAATCTGCAAATCTGCATATTATTCTGTAAACATATTTGTCTGCATGTGACAGAGTTCCAAAATAATAATGGCTCTGTAGTGAATCCCTATAATTTTCTGTTGCCTCAGCATCCATCTTGAATATAAATTGGACTTTCTCATGCCCAAAGCAGGGCTCAGTCATGCTAGACACCGTTTCCACTTCTTCCCCCAGTTCCTCAATGTGGTTGATCAAGATATCTGCCTTGTACAAACACCCCCTGGTGACCACCTCCCTATGGGACAGCTAGACACAGCCTACTTGACTCACCCCAGCAGCCCCCTGTACCCTGCGCGGATGGCCCAGATATGCTGCAGTGACTCCCCTCAGGCACGGTGGAGCTCCACGGTGCTAAGCTTGCTTGCTCTAAACCTACCAACTGGGACTCCCTGAGGGAAACTTGCTTGGGTGCTTCCCGGGACCCCAGTAAGGCTTTGGCCCACAAATCCCTCTCTTTCTCTCTTGCTTCCCACTTCTTTTCTCCAGACTTCCCGTCAGCCCTTGTGGGCATCCCTCTTCTCTCACGGATCAGCGAGTAATAAAAATGCCTCTGTTATATCATGTGCTTTTTCGGTCTGCCTCCTCTGTGTCTCACCTGACTGACACATTCAAACCTAACTCTCCTCCCCTCCAGGGCTCTCCTAGACAGTGACTCTCTTGGCAGAAATAAACTGGACACAGATTAGACGAGAGCCACAAGGGTGTCTGCCAGTAGAAACAAGTGTTCTGTGGGAGGGGAACCTGGTCATAGGTGGGACACTTAGGCATTAGGTCGGGATAAAGAAGTTTCCTGTGAAAGGCACACGGTGCACATCCATGATCAACTCCCCTGGAGCCCCATCAAGGCAAGCCTAGAATTTATAGCTGCCCTCTGGAGAGAGACCTCAAGACCAAATTAGAGGAAATCACAATAGGCTCAAACAAAACAGATGTTTATTTCTCTCTCATGTAAAAGTCAGAAAGATGGCTGGGTACAGGGCCTGTAATCGCAGTACTTTGGGAGGCTGAGGAGGGAGGATTGCTTGAGGCCAGGAGTTTGAGATCAGCCTGGGCAACATAGAGAGATTTCTATCACTACCAAAAATTTAAAAATTAGCAGAGTGTGGTGGCACGTGCCTGTGGTCCCAGCTACTTGGGAGGCTGAGGTAGGAGGATCGCTTGAGCCCAGGAGTTCAAGGATGCAGTGAGCTATGATCACACCACTGCACTCCAGTCTGGGCAACAGAGTGAGACACTTTGTTTAAAAAAAGAAAGTCAGATATGACATGACAGCGCTGCTAGGAGGCCAGATTCCTTGCACATTGTTGCTCTGCCATTATGAGGGAGCGTCTCTCCTTTATGTGGTGCACCATAATGGGAAGAGAGGAATGGGGGCAGGGAGGGCACACACCTTCCACTGAAGCACA